GACGGGCTCTGATGGGAGCTAGCATTGGTCCAGTGTCGTTCGGATACTTTTCATTCATCATACTACAATATACAATCTATCTTTTACCCCACATGTGCTTGCGTCTCTTGTCCTCAGATCAACAAACGTGACGTACCATCCTAGATTCTGTAATCTTCCACCCCCACCGCGCGCGCGCGATGGTGTCTTCAGTGACCATTTTCGACACCACCATTCCCATTGGTCAACAATGAAGATCATACCAAACATACATATTAACCGAATTTTCTAGAAATAATCGATTGCAGAAATCCGCTCACGAATTTCGCGGGGAAACAGGGGGGCGGGGGGCTGTATTATAAAATGTGGGGAAACCCAACATTAAAGACATGGGGAAATCCAATTCATCTATCGAGAAAGGTGTGCCCGGCCACGGCGCCAAACCACGACAACATGCTACCGGTGAAAACGAATCATGCAAAAGTTCACACAAATATCCGTAATACCTTGTCCCCCCTTCGCCACTTACACTCTCTTCTCCCCCCGAACGCGTAACAATATTTACATTGATAGTGCGCGAAAAAAAAAAAAAAAAAAAAAAAAAATTCCCACTGAGACGTCCCCGCGTCTACAAGTTGGTGTACACTACGTGTGTAATAACATGAAAAATTTTTTTTTTCAGTTTGGTTGGAAGTACAGCTACAGTTACGTACGTGCGTAAGATGGCCAGAAAACAAAAAAACTGCCGATGTTTATGTTTTAATACATTTTCAATTCGTCGCGACCCACACGCACGCACGCGAGATTTTTAATGGTCTTTTTTGATTGACCTTAATTAACCCCCCCCGGTTCGACTGCACGCGCACCTGTGTGGTATGTGGGTGTAGGTAGGGTAGGGTAGGGTATCTTTGGGGATTGATGGTTTGGGTGAGGAGAGAGAGAGAGAGGGAGGGATTGGGGTATGCTTAGTTAGTCAAAAATGTACGCGCACTTATTCGAGAGTTCGACAATACATGTATGTACCACGCGGCGCGCTGGTTGAACCGGTATGGGTTTGTGTTCGGCAGTTATATATACAAGTTTTTTTGTTTTAATATGGGGATTGATACATCAACTCATAACACACCCACCGATTTCCCATTCATCATACATACCAACACTTTCTTCGTACCTTAACCAGTTCTACCAACGACTCCCCCGTCCATCCCTTCCAACCCCCCCCCCCCCAAAAAAAAAACCAAAACAAGGAACTATGCTCGCTCCATCTCTGCTCCTACTATCCTCCCTAACCTTAACCCTAGCCTCCTCCCCTTCGTCCCCGCTCTCCTTCGATGGTGGCAAAGAATCAACGCGACCCAGACGCAAACCCATCATCCTCGACCGCTCCGGCGGGTTCCAAATCGGGGGGAAAATCATAAAAAGCCCGCTCAACCCTAACCTCACGCTCTCGTGCGATCACGGGTACATGGAGTACTTCATCCCCTGGCGGCCGCGACGAACGAGCTTAGTGATGTGGCATAGTTCAAGCACGTAAGTCCCTCCCTTCTCCCACTCACCCGCCCACCCCTCGTCCTTTCCAATCAACCAACCATCCCAAAAAAAAAAACAGCCAAGTCTGGCAAAACCGCTGGGACTTCGGCCCAGGCTACAAAGACCTCTTCCTACGACGCAACTACCCCATCTACCTCTGGGACGGGCCGCGCGTGGGACGCGCCAACTGGCCGTGCGAACCCACCACCCCGTACACGCCGCTCTACCAAGACCAATCCAACTTCGCGGCGTGGAATTTCGGTCCGCGGTACCCGCTCTGGTGGCCCGACGTGCAATTCCCCGTCAACGACACCGCCGCGTGGCAGCGCGCGACATCGGCGCGCTACATCGAGTACGACACGGCCGCGAGCGTCGAGCTGCAATCCGACGCTGCGGCCGTCGCGGCGGACTCGGGGGATGTGGGGAGGGAGATTGTGTATTTGACGAACTCGGCGGCGGGGTTGCGTGCTATGATGACGGTGAGTAAGACGAATGGGACGAATGTTAAAGGGATAGTCGCGTATGAATCGATTGGGTATGTGTTTCCGGAGACCGCGAATGTGACGGCTGGGGGTGGTGGGTTTGGGCCGTTTGTGGTGTCGGTGGAGAGGTTTAGGAAGTTGGCAAGGTTGACGAGCGTGAAGTTTGTGTGGGGGGATCATCGCGCGGCGAATTGGTCGTCGGTGGTGGAGAGTAGGAAGTGTGCGGATTGGATTAATAGGTATGGGGGCAATGCGGAGGTGGTTATGTTGGGGGAGCTGGGGTTGAAGGGGAGCACGCATATTCCGTTTGCGGATTTGGATAATGAGGAGGTGGCGGGGTTGCTGGAGGGGTGGTTGGAGGAGGAGGGGTTGGATGGGTATGTTGATGGGGAGGGGGAGGGTGGGGATGAGGATGTGGAGTAGGGGAGGGGGAGGAGGGATTGGGTGTTGGGCATGAAAGAAGAGCAAAAAGTGGTGGGGTGAACCGGAGAAACAACTTATGTGAGAGGTTGCAAATTTCGGGTGGTCGATTTGGGCATGTGTTAAAATGCACGCGTAACTGTACTGCTAGAAATAGACGGCAGATATCCTCCAACTCATCTACAAGATCGCAGTCCCATTTACATGAGAGCCCACACCACCTACACAACACTCGTCAGCAAAGAGCCCCAACATTAACACATCACCATCTCAAACAAAACCCCCTAAAGAAAGATAAAAACCACTCACCAACACAATTCGCCGGCGCACTCGTAAAAAAGAACGTCCACCGTCCCAGCTCCCTACACCTCCCACTCAACCTCTCCAAGTCCAACATCTCGCCCAGCGGCATGCCCCAAAGCGCCACAATAAACTCATGCAAATGATACTTCTCGTGCGTCGGCCACGCCTCAAACGTCGGACTATCCCCCGCAACCGCCGCAAAATAACAATCATGCAACCAATCGATCATCTCCTCTTCCTGACCAACCCCAGCATACGCCTGACCGTCTTCCCCATCTTTCCCGCTCCCGTGCCGTAGCGCGGCTTTGCTGCGTGCTTCGGGTGTTAGCGTATCGTGCGCTTCTTTCCACCCCGTGCGGATGAAGAGGATGTCGCCGATTTGGATGTCGCCGCCTTGGGAGGCCGGACGGATGTCGAGACCTTGGGAGTGCCCGCAGGCGGCGAGCTCGGCGTGGGAGATGCGGTGGTATGTGTAGGGGTCGTAGGGTTTGTTGTTTTGGAGCGCGTAGGTGCGGTAGTCGAGGAGGATGCCTCGACCGGCTATCCCGTGGTCTGCCCAGTAGTGGATCGAGCATTTGTTGTTGGCGTTGGGGCCCACGATGTCCGTGGCTGTGGTCTGTTTTTGGGGGGTTAGTGATTTGGGTGAAATGGGGAGGTGGTGGGAGGGTTTACGTGGTTGTAAAATTGACCGCTTGGCAAGTGTGCGCACTGTCGAGGGAGTGTTAGATGTTGATGATGAATGGGTGTGGACACGTGATTTGAGACTGTGGTGAGGTGGTTGTTCGTACGTGTCTGAGTCCATCCCATTGCGTGCTGCTTTGCGTGTTCAGCTCGTAGGTGTCGTCGTATGCGTAACCTTCCATAATCGCTTTGATTTCGTGCTTGAAGGTTTGACGGTTGAAGGCTGGTTGAGCGGGGAGGTTGAGAGGAAGGCTGTCCTCTGATTAGTATGATTATTCGGCATTCGATTGATGTGTATATTGGTTGTCTTATACTTCAACGGAATAATTTCGCCCGTCTTGATCTCTTTCGCGGCCGCTGCTACACGAGTGGGGGTAAGGAGGTTGATCCTCCCAATCTCCCATCGTTAGCGTTTCGTTGGAGAAATCAAGTATGCATATGGTGACCGACATTATCGTCTTCGCCCCATACCCACGCAGCGCCCTCAGGTGCTCCCGGGATCGAAGGAAGTTCTTTTCTCGAAGGGAATTTGTTGCAATTGGGATCCCAGGGGATCGTAGTCGGTGTTTTATCCATGGTGAGGAGATTTTTATTCCGCGTTAGGCGCTGGGACGCTGCGTTTTTTCAGGTCAGTTATGGTGCTAGAATGTAACAATTGACAACTTGAATAGACCCTACAGAGAACGTGATATGCCGAGTTGGAGGATTGATGCTTGGGTTTGGTACGTAGAGGTTCAATGCAACTTATAGCATCTCCGTTGGTGAGGTGGAGTGACGATGGGTCCCCCGCTTTTTTTCGGGTTGCCTGTCCGAGTAACGAGTGCCATGGAATTCGCGGGGTATGCGATTTCGAGAGATGTCGATGGTGATGTGTAACAGTGGGGGTGTGTGTGGGGACATAAGCATTACAATACGCATCAGTATGTATCAAATCACAGTCAGTCATAGGCTTTATCTCTGCCTCTTCTAGTCGTATTATTCATTGCTTAGAAAAATGCAACTACAGGGGTATGTCCTGATGCTCATACACCCCATTCTTCATAAGTCGTATCTTGAAGAGAGTTGGTGTTACTGCGTCTAGAATGAAAGGATTAGGCGCCAAAGGCTCGCGTAGCTCTGTGCTAACGTGCAGGCAATGCCATCCCTGATTATATCGAATGTTCCTACGCATCTCACCCGTGAAGTAATTGTACAGTGTATGGTGGCAGGGCACTGTGAACTATCGTTATCGGAATTGCGTGGGACTCTTATGGAAATATTCCTTAGTTTGTTCGTATGCTGAGCTCTGCTATTCTTCGACAACGGCCTTGTATACTAACTGAACCCTTCCAAACTCGTTAGCCCTAAGAATTAATATCAATATTGATCTTGTTCATCTTTGCAGATCATGGTGACTCGAACTTGTGTACATACGCGTCTTGTGGCCTAAAACCAGATTCCCAACCAACCTTCACGTCAATCTTCACAACAAAGACTACGGACGAATGTGACGTTGAGCTACAAAAAACATACTGGATCTTGGAGAAGTGCAGAGGAGAGAAAAAAAGAAAAACAGAGGACAGCCATCTAGCCACAAGAAGCTAATAGTTCGATGCAAAAAAGATGTGCCCACTCTCGGAATCGAACCGAGGATCTTCTCATTTCATATTTATTGGACCGATGCTGGATCAATCACTAGATACGAGTGAGACGCTGTACCACTAAGCCAAGCGGGCTGTTCTTGATTTGTGGAGATTTTGGACCGTTTTGCTTTTATATAGGTTGTAAAGTTAGGTTCGCGGAAGATGTTCCGCATGAATGCGCCATCTGCGGGATAAGCGTTCGGTAGTGGTTTGGACCATCTATGGACCGGGATCATGACGCGTCAACTACATTTTTAACACATCAGGTTTGTTGGACGGGAAAAACACCCAAGTACTTTCATTTGCAGTTCCTGTGCAGATACACGAGGGACATACATGATGGATATCAGAGCACTTTGTGACTGAATCAGTCACACTTCGTCAACACTCAGGCTTCCACATGCTACATACATAATGTACATTCATCACAAGTCCATCAGAAATCCATCAAAATACGTAAGTATTCCCAACCTTCCCCTATCAACAAAAGATAATTAATTTAGTACATCCGCAATTCCTGCCTATACCCCTTTAAAATCTACTCTCATACCTCCCTTCCCACACGCCCCAAGCCTCAACCTTCCCATCCACAGCCTCAATCAACTCCCCCTTCCTCGGCACTCTCCCCAACACCCTCCAATCCAACTTCTCCCTCAGCGCAACCAACACAAAAAAATACCTATGCGCGCCATGTCCCCTCGGAGGCCTAGGTGGAATATACACCTTCCCCCTCCTATTCCACCCCACCCGCCACCCACTTTTAATAACCTTAACCCCGTCGCTCTCCTCCCCCACGACCTCGAGATCTGCTGGCGAGATTGATGTTGTAGTCCGAGGAATGCCAGTGTAGATACCGTGCACGTTGGGATGGCCTAGCGGCGCGTCCGCGTCTTCGCTTAGGAGGAGGTATTCGGCCGTCGAGGCGGATGCGGCGGGCCATTGCAGCGTGGGGATGTGGCCCGCCCCGAACGCCGAGTAGGTGTCGCTGAGCTGTGCGCCAGATGCGCCGCAGTCGGGGGACGTGAGTTTGAGAGATGGGGTGGGATGCGCGGCAAATGGTTTGAGGTTGTGGAAGAGCAGCGCGTCGTAGCCCCGTCGACGGTAGAGGAGTCGCCCTAGAATGTATTCGAGGGCGTTGAGGAGCCACATTTTCGTATGGTTTGATTACGCGCCGAGAGATTGAAGTCTTGAGGTTTCTTGGACTTACATTATGGCATGCATGATCTGTTTTTATGATTAATGCTGTTTATGGCTTTACACAGTTCGCGCCTTCTCGGAGTTTGGCTCGGATTTAGTGCATCGTGAGGCCGAGGAGGTTTGTACGACGTGCAAACATTCAATGTTGGCAGAAAGCTCTATCTTCTTAGTCTTTGTGAAATGTGCAGATATATCGATTGATCTATTGGACTCCCGCGGCAAAATGAATATCAATTCTGGTATCTTATTGTAAAGGCTTCCCTGTCTCTAGGATAAAGCTGCTTCTCCAAAAACCATCTAGATTCAAGAGAGCGCGGAACCACAGCCTTTCAACATTCCCAACCCCAAAAGCCTCGATCTATGTATAAACCGTGCTAGCAAATTTAAACCGTCCGAAATTTTCCTGTATATCATACAACCAATCTATGCCCACGCTCACACTCTACCTAGGTAGGGTGAGAATCCGGCACACGTCTCGCATGCGCATGCGCATGCTTTGTGGCAATCCTAGCGCCATTATTTAGTCGACTGGATCTGAGCGGCGGTACCGATAAAAAGTCACTGGATATCGAAGACGTTTTCGAAGTCGAGGTCTTAAGAGACGTACTCTTGACTGGCGAAGATACGCTATTTGCTGTTCGCGTCCTGTGTGTTGAGGTCCATGTTGATGCGCTCCTATTCCCATCGCCTGTTTCTGTCAGCTTAAGGGCATGATGTAGATTTAATGAAGTATCCAATGGCTTCCCATCCGAAGTCTTCTTTCGACGTCGGTGATTGATTTAAGGATTGTGGCACTTACCATGACTTCCCTCCGCAACACCGTCTGTTTCGCTTGTGATGACAATACGGAAAGCAGAGTCGTCCTTGACAGCAACACCATCTGGATGCAAAGTTTTGAGACTGGAATCCGGTATGAGAGCTGTTTCCTTCCCAATCGAGCGCTCCCCTCCGTGCCTATCGAACCCACCCTGCGCTTCTCTCTGCGTTCGTCCCGAAGGACTCGTTTTACCGTTGCGGTTCGCTGGGATTTGAACGATTCGTATCTGGCTAGACTTCATCACTTTTCCCACCTGCGCCTCACTAATGTTGATCATCTTCGCTGGCACAGCTTCAACTCCACGGGCCTCAACTTTATCCGCCACCCGAGCCTCGCTCTGGGTCTCAATAACCTCGACCGCTTTAGCCACTCTACCTTCACGATCACTCTCCTTATCCGCCTCAACAGCCTTCCCTTCGCTTTCCTTCACCTCCTCAACTTCCCCTACTTTCCCACCTTCCTCCTCATTCACTTTATAACATTCCTCATCCCGTCCATGTGCATGATACCGACATCCATCCTCCCCTCCCCCTTTCCCAACCAACCCCACCGCCCTCTTAAGCGCCAACTCCAAAAACTCCCTTGGCAACTCTCCAACATCAACCCTCTTCAAAAGCTCCTCCCCAGCATCCACACACCGATCCACAACAAACCGCTTCAACTCGCTCGACGCACCTCGTACACCGAAGACGTAGAAAATGGTACCCGCGTCCGCGGGGATGCCGTGCGGGATGGACGCGGAGAGGGTGTCGATGATGCGGTCGGAGGAGGTGGGATCGTGGATGTGGGCGGTTAGGAGGGAGGCGTGGAGTGGCCAGGTTGCGTCGTTGGGGGGTGGGGAGGAGGAGGTGCGCGTGGTGGTTGATGATAGGCAGGGGGTGATTTTGTCGGTTGTTTTGTAGACGTCGTAGAGGGAGAGTGCGTGGGGGTCGATGGGGATGAGGGAGGTTAGAGATATGGATGCGGCTTCGAGTTCTTGTGGTGGTGCTGTGGGAGCTTCGCGGGTTGGGCATACGGGGATGTTGGATGGTGGGAGTACAGGGCTCGACGGTTGTTTATCTTTTTCATGTATTGTTTCTGGAGCTAAGGTAGTAGGTGACTCTGTCTTTCTGAGCGATTCCGTACCATCGAAAGATTTGTAAACTGTGATGAAGTTCGGATCATGGATCGCAGGATGGTTTTCTGGGACGCAGAAGTATTTCGACGAGTCGCTTGCGCTTCCTTCGCTTTGATTGTCGGGGATGAGTTGGAGTGGAGATAGGTTTCCAGAAAGAAACAGATCATGCCGCGGCGAAGGGAAGTGAAAGTCGGAGAACTGATTCGATGTTGGTTTTCTTGTGGATGTTTTCTGTGACGTGGCTCGTTGTGGGAATAGTGGAGGGTGAACGTAGTCGTCTTTGAATGCCTGAATGCTTTTCAATGGGATTGGAAGAGATTCGCTGTCGTATGTGTTGCTTCCATCGAAAGAGTCAGCGAGACTGCTTGGCCTACTTGATCTCTTCGAATCATGACTTGAGCGCAGAAGCGAACCTGTCGGTCCTCGAAACCACTGGTATCCCAGTGGTGACGCTACCGCTTCATCGACTGCCGGATTTGGATTCCTCTTCTGTATCTTGCTTCGCGCACGCTTAGGCGGCTTGATTTTAGCTTGTGCTGTGCTTTTCCCGAGGTTGAATTTCATATGCTTGAGAGATATCTTGCTCTCCTTTGGGGACGCTGGATTTGATTGTTGAGATTCTGGGAATGTCGGAGAAGTGATCGAGTGCGTAGCTTGCTGATCTCGGCGTGGCTTCGCGTCGATGAAGGACGGCTTACATGCTGAATCTTCGGAGTTTCTGGTCGACGTCGATGGCTTTGAGGTTGAACTTGACGTTTTTGGTCGTGAAAAATTGGCCATGATTACCTCTCCATTTTTTCGCTGTATAGGTGGGTGCAACGGGAACATGTTGCGTCTTTATATGCTACTATCGAAGTGGTTGTTAGGTTGAAAGGTTGATTGGTGATGCTTGGAAACACTGAAACCAACTTTCTTAAAAGTGAATCCGGGCAGGAGGGCGAGTTGAGCGTTTGAAATATTGAATTCCCGTTTGTGTCATTGCTTTGCTCTCTGTGACACAAGTACAAGCAGGGGACACATAAAAAACCAATATCACCGATAGCGCACAGGAATGCAAGCCCATTGAAGATGCCTTACATAGTATACAAATAATTAAAATAGAGACTTGAGCAGTGCACTGCAGACCCCAACAATGTGTTTCCAGTTCAAAAACGACTCACCGTCGCTCCCGCCTGCCCCGGTATCAACCTCACGGACCAATAGAGCTGTATCCCCACTCCCGGTGTACACAGTCCAGTTTATCGTGGGTAGCCTGGACTCCCCAGAAAATGTGCCGCGTCCAAGCGTTTATATGCCATCCACATTAGCCTCTAAATCGCCATACCTGCGTCGCCGCATCCAGCCCCCAAAGCACGGCGACAGAGTCACGCAGGTGGTATTGGTCGATGCATACTACGATGCTCTCAAACTGTACAAAGACTGGCTCCAGCACGGTGTTGTCCCCAAGTTTCGCCGATCTACGTCGACACCTATTCCTACGCCCGAGAGGAAGCTGTTGTGGTCGGAATGTTTCGATCTTGTCCGTGCACATGTGCTTGGTTCGCGGTTTCAGCATCTCGAATTTTCTGATTTCATCATGGGAGAGTTGATCCGGTGGCTTGATCCCGTACAAGATGCTGATTTAGATGTTCTGGACTTTGTGTTCAAAGAACGGGGCGTGAGCGAGGTTTTGCAATGCTTTGTGGTGGACAGGATGTTTGCAGATGAGGCACACGTAAGAAAGATCTTCAAATTGTTTTTAGAGAGGAAGAGGAAAGGCAGGGTCGGAAAATTTAGAATGACAAGCTCAAACGAGTATCATTCAAGATATGAAGAGATTCGTCACGAGCTATCAGAAGCCAGACATTCACAGCAAAGAGGCGAGCCGTCGACAGCACCGGATCGACTGCGCCCAGAGAGCGAAACCCCACTGCCTACACCGCCAAAACCTTACCAGCAAACACGCTACGCGCCCCAGATATC